TAAGCAAGGTTTCTATACTTGACCACCCTCCTCCAAATACCCAATTGCTTTAGTAATCATATTGCTCCTTGTTAAAAGCGCTGGCAGCTCAAAAGCCAATACAGTTTTAGTTTTCCTCCATAATTGGATTTTACTGGAAAGCCCACACGAATACCATTCTAAAAATCACTCAAGCATCTACTGCAAATAGCATCTATGAAGTATGTTGACTCAGAAGTGATCTAAGATCACTCTGCTACTAAAATAGAAGGTCTTGCCCTTCTCTGAACAAAAGAAAGATTATATTCCAGCAGGAAAAGAGAGCTGATCTGACCTGCACATGGCCTCTGAATGACTATTCAACATTAAAGAGGTGGTAAGAACGTGCCTTTTGGTGGTGGCAAAGCCCTCGGTCACCCAAGTGAGCCTTACACGTCTTAAAAAAGAAGCAACATGCAATAGCTTTGATACTTTAACTACTCCTATTAATTTTTCTTATAGGCTCTTAGGTAAATAAAGAGAAGCTTTTATTTCAAATCTAAATTTAAGCAAACAGTAAGTGAGAAGTCACTGAATTTTTAAGGAACAGATTTTTAAGATGATTTTTTAAGGAACTTCCACTTTTATATTTTTACGTCAGGTAACTAGATTAAACATGTATGTGGGTTCTCAGGACTTCAAGAGAAGTGTAGGAAATATTTTCAAATTAGTAAAACACTTGAGGCTGGATGTCCTGAAATCCTCTTTTCTACTCAGAATCCCAATTTTTGCTTAAAATAGAGATTAGTGAGCATTGCTTATGCAACGGCCATAATAAATTTGACAGAAAAAGTCCTCGTTTGTCAAAGACAATGTGACTTTTAATTTTTGGGCTGTTGTCTTTGCTCTATACTTATCCCCCAAGAAACACATTCAAGCTTCCCCGTTTATTTCAGAAGAGGCAGAGTCCTCCAACACTTTATTGGGGTATCCAGCTGATGGGCTTAAAGGAACTTTTTAACGTTATTCCTTAATAACCCCTTCCTTCTGAAATCAATTGCATTTTAGAGAACAACCTGACTTTTGGCTTAATTGTCAATAGCTGAGCAGATCTCTGGCTGTCTCAAAACAGCCAGTTTCGTGGACATCATTCAGTTTTTGAGGCTAAATCCCTTATTTTCTCCCCAGGTAGAGAGCTTGGTACAGGAATATTGTATTCAACCTTCTGTTATCTTGCACTTCTCAGCACATTGTTTTATATTTTATTTCCATATGTTAATCCACTAGTGGGGACAGTACCTCCTTCTGTTTTATGAAGACTGTTCCTAAAAGTAGCAGAAACGAGAAGACAATATTGTGGTACTACAGATGAGCTACAGAAAACACGGTGTAGATGACAAGGGTTTGGCTCGCTCTTATTTCACTTCATGTTTTCTAATGAAAATACTATATGGATATTTAGCACTGTGCTGCCAGGAGCCTGTTTACCCTGCTCTGAATAAGGCAGAAGGAACTTTACAGAAATCAATATTTGTGACTTTAAACAAACTGCAGGGAAAAGAACCCCTCTGGAAGCCCGGGAGGAATGGAGAGACCCCCAGGGAATGGGCTGAGGATAACAGAGGGTTTTGTAGTATGGAAACCCACGAATTATGTCTAAAAAACACTTAAAACAAAAACTTCCACTGCGTATCTTCCTACTACGGTTCCAAAATACCACAATCTAGCTTTTCTTTACGAAGTAGTCTCTTTACTTACCTCGCAGCAAGTGACCACTCCAGCAGTTGAAAATCATGGAAATTAGCACACAGATAGCTTGAAGAGAATTTTTAGCATAGCTATATAATTCAGTTGCCAAAGCTCACTAATGAGACTTTCCAATTAAATTAACCAATTAGGAATTAATTCAGCTCATCGATTTACATTTTTAGCTTGCTTAGGATACTAATAGCACTTGAGAGCGGTCTGCTTGGAATGGTTTGATGTCAGTTTGGGTCAAGTTTGTTTCTAAAATAGAGCCCTAATAGAGTGGAGGCTTGTTGTTCGCTGAAAATGCCTGCGTGGGCACGCTTGCTGATGTATGTTAATGTCTGCCTTCAAAGAGCAGGCAAGTAGCCCCTCGATTTAACGAAGACTTACACGCTGTTAGCCCAAGGGAATATTGTTTAAAGGACAGCAGCTTGGGTTCTTGAGTCTCACTTGCTCTGCTGTGCGCGTCAGTCACGTGCACTCAGCCTCCAGAACCAGGAGTCATTTTGCACGTTGTTTTACGTAACCCTGTTCTTCCCTGCGCCACCCCTGCACACGAGAGGTTATGTGAAGGGCACGTGCATTGAAATTTACTGCACAGAAATTGTTAACACTGAATTTACATTAGACTACTGCGATTTCTACTCACAACAGCCACACAAAGAACTGCACGATATTTCAGACAGCTAAAGCCAGTTACTTTTAAGACTAAACTAACTGCAAATGCTATACGTCGAAATTCCAAGTATTTAGTTCTTCAAGCTAACACTGAAGAATAAGAGAAAAATCATCTATTGTATTTTTGGCAACTTCTGTATTATAACCAAAGGGTCAGAATATTCATCTTTTCTGTCAAGCAAAACATGGCTGTGCCTCTCTCAGTCATCTGATCTTTTCAAATATATCATTACTTCAAAGAAGATGGAGCACACCTGCTGGCTGCCTCTGTGTGGTGAGGTCACAGAGTAACAGACACAGGGAGGGAAGAACAGTATAAATATCCTCCATTCCTAGTCTCCAGATTTCCTCCTTAAGTACTGGAATCAGCAAGTTCAGCTTTATTTGTTTTTCTCCCCAGCAATAGTTAATTTTTAAAGATACTGGGTCAAAGTGAAAAACAACATCACCTATGTAAATGTCTTCATGTTTAAAAATAAGTAGGCATAAAACAATCTCATTAAGAGAAATGTGGAAATTTCTGTGCTTTTATATATTATATAGAAAAATATATAAATGCATAATATAAAATATATATTATATAATTTCACTAACTATTGTATTGCAGCTCATTGTCAAATTATAATGAACGACTTAGCAACTAACAATGAAAATCATATCTACCCAATTGTTTACCTAAAGACCGTACACCCTGAGTACGCAAACATTATCCACTTGCATTTGGTGCCATCTGACCTGGAGACAGGCCAGCGAAGCGAAGCAGTCACTCCAGAGATGGAAAGGTACAATTTCACATGGACGGCACAGAATATGCCAGAGCAGAACATATTGAGCTATTTCCTATTTTCCCCTTGCCTATGATAAAGACCCATCATAAAGTTTCAGCAGATCAAAAGGGAGAGGGAGCAATTGTGCCAAATCGCCACAGAAATAAAAAACACCCGAATTCAAGCACAATGAACGCTCTCAGAGCGTATCCTTTCCGACCCGAGGTGCTTTAGTCAAGCTGCTTTAAAATTTCTTACGTATTGCATTCCTTTTTGTAAGAGCTGGTGCTTCATATAGGCTGTTTCTATTTTCTCACCAAAAAACTTAAAATAAGAAGCTGGCAGCCTCTGACATTAAATACCTAGTCCTAACCAAGCCGCCAGCCCCACACAGCTCTCACTTCCAGAAGAGCAGGAAATAAATTCTGCATGCATAAAATAACAACACATGAGTTCCAACATTTCATTAAAAAATTAAATACCTTGCAGAAACTTCATATCATCTGAGACGAACAAAGCATAAAACAATCTAAAACAAAGCTGATTTGAGGTTGTTTCTAATACTTTTCTGGGCTACCCCATGTCTAAACTCACCTGGTGGGATCAGCAATGACCATCTGTCATATAACTGATGCTTGAACTATGAAATAAGTATGGCAATATTGGACAATATAAACACACCATTAATAAGGCTCTTTTTTTAAAAAAAAATACAATAAAGAAAATACCTAAATGGAAACAACATGGACATTTTAAAAAAAATCAACAATTGTACCCCTTTTTATACAGATTTCAGCCTAATTTGAGAGTATTTAATTTGAAGTGAGTCCATAAAATCGAAACATTTCCACAGTGTAAACAGAGCATTTTTATTAAAAAAAAAATTAGAATATTCTGTCTTGTTTTTCAAAACTCCACAATTAATTGTATAAACCCAATATGCTCCAAGTGAGAGCTGTAAAAATGGATTCAGGGTACTGCACACATTTCATTACAAGGTGCTCTACACCAAGGCTTCTCATTTCACAAAGAAAATCAAATCTCAGTCTACAAATTTACTCTCACGTACAACAGCCACAGTGCTTTTTTCCTTCTCAATCGTTCTCTTTAAAATCTACAGTTACGAAGGTCACGTTAGTTCTGAATGGCACCTGCATAATGTGGTTATATCCAGTTGGTTTGTCCCTGATCCAGCCCTCATTTTCATCCTAATTCTTTGCACTTTGCAGCACGTCTATCTTTCTAGGAAACTGCCAGCTGGATTTTTCTCCATTTTAGAGCAGACTGTAGATCCCTGCAATCTCTTCAGGAAATTCATCCCTGCTGAAACATCTCAACACGAAGACAGTAACCAGGATTAACAAACACCTTTCCCTCCCCCTGCCGGTTGAGCGTGCCTTGAGCCACGCACGCGTGCACACGAAAGCCAATTCCACACCTGGAACAAGATAATCTGAACAACTCTGGCACACATGGGAAAACTACCTTGTCATGGTGGCTTCAAAAGTTTTATTTAAAGGAGTAGTAGGAGAAAGGCGAACCAGAAGTGCTTTTTTAATGCTGCAGTCTGGTCAGACCGAATTATAAAACAGCTTATTAGAACAGTATAGTTTATCAGAATCGAAATTTGTCTTTTTTTTTTTTTTTTTAAATCTGTTCTTTGTTCTGACTAGAGGAGAAACATGGCAAATGCAACCAAGTATAGGATTATTATCCACTTTAACAGGCTTGGAATGAAGTAAGCATAAGAAAGAGCAATCCTATTTCCCTTACTGCAAGGTGGAGGGAAAACACCAAAGTAAAGGGATTTAAACTGAAAAATAGAATATTTAAACTATTAAACCTTACCTTGCCAGCCTGGTTTGCACACTGGTTTGACATTAACTCGTACTAACACATCTTCTGTTGCACGTTTTTGTCCACAGTCAAAAGCTGTTACCATTATCTCATACTGGTGCTGTTTATCATAGTTCAGTTTCTCAGTGTTTCGGATGTTACCTATAGATTCAACATAAAACAAGTTTCAGAAATCATTTCTTGGCTAAGCATACAAAGACTGTAACATCTGGGTCCTGGGTAATCCAATAGTTTGTGACCAGAACGTTCTCTGAAGCTCGTGGGACATCCAAAGGCCGGACAGTTAGGAGCAATGGGAAGTATTTTTTCGGTGAGTCCAGAGAAGTTCTTCGGCAAATACAAGATGTCTGGGATATAATCTGGGCATGAGAAAGCATATGCTCAACACTTTTTCAGCTATGACTGTAGGACTCATTGGGAGCTAGATCTTGAAACGTGAAGTATGAGTAGGTGCAATGTCATTTTCCACATCTTCTCCAAATACACTGCGTCACCAAGGCAGCTGCATTCCTGAGAACCGCTGCTCAGCGTCCTTCTTTTCTTTCACTAATGCCATTACGCTCTAGGTGAGAGAGACTTTTATCCCTTTAACACTTTTCTCTGGGTTTTTAAAAATCAGAAAAGCCCCAGAATTACCTTCTACATTAGAGTGCTGAGCAGTATTTGATGTGACAGCACAGTGTTATCACCATCCTTCTTTTCTTTCACTAATGCCATTACCCTCTAGGTGAGAGAGATTTTTATCCCTTTAACACATTTCTCTGGGTTTTTAAAATCAAAAAAGCCCCAGAATCACCTTCTACATTAGAGCGCTGAGTAGTATTTGATGTGACAGCACAGTGTTATCACACGGAAAACAAAC